CAGGGATGCAGCCTAATTTAAGGCATTTCTATGTAGCTTTTGGGACACGGTGTGCAGGCCATGTCCACAATGCGTCCTGGCCATGGCAGGGACACAGGCAAATTTTCAGGCATTTTTAAGCAGTTTCTAGGACACGGTGGGTAGGTCATATCCGGGAAGCATCCCGACCGTGGTAGGGATGCAGGCAAACTTTCAAGCATTTTTAGGCAGTTTTTCGGACATGGTGTGCAATCCATGTCTAGGATGCAGTCCGGACATAGCCTAATTTTCAGGCATTTCTAGGCAGTTTCTGGGACATGGTGTGCAGGCCATGTCCAAGACGCATCCTGGCCACGGCACAGACGTAGGCTGATTTACAAGTACATGGAGGTAGCACGGTGTGCAGGCCATATCAAGGATGCAAGTATTTTCTCGGGCATTTCTAGGCAATTTTTGGGGCACGGTGTGCAGGCCATGTCCCGAATGCATCCTAGCCATGGTAGGGACATAGGTTGATTTACAGGTACATGGAAATAGCACAATGTGCAGGTACATTCTCGAGCATTTCTAGGTAGTTTTCGTGGCAAGGTGTGCAGGCCATGTCCTGGATGCATCTTGGCTGTGGCAGAGACAAAGCATGATTTTTAGGCATACGAAGGTAACACGGTGCGCAGGCCATACTAGGGATGCAGGTACGTTCTCGAGTAGTTTTGGGACATGGTGTGTACGCCATGTTCCGGACGCATCCTGGCAGTGGTAGGTATGAAGCCTAATTTTTAGGCACACTTAGGCACCACGGTCTGTAGGTAATGTTAGGGACGTAGGCAGACAAAGGCATATTTTCATGCACGCGAAGGTAGCATGGGACGTGGGCACATGAAGGCAGCACTGAGTGCCGTCCATGTAAAGGATGTTGGCACACGTAGGTAGCAAGTAGTTCATACCGATGCCCATTACAGGCACACCAGGCAAGCTAAGGAACATCTCATGCACCTAAATTCAGTACAACAACTAATGGACATCGCATGTACATGAAGAGAGCAACTCAGGCACAATGCAGGAACACATGGGCATATCAAAAGCACACAAAAGCACATCGCAATCATACCAAGGCGGTAGATCGGGCACCCAAACTTAACATCACTTATTTTGTGTCCACTGCATCAACTTTAGCGTAGAGGCTCGTAACATCTTCGATGCTATGCATTACTGTACATGGGTTTCTGTCCCTCCACACTTGGGCATTGAAAAGTAATATCAAGGACCATGGGCATTCTAGCCTTAAAGCATTCCTGGATAAAGAAAATTTCGATTGGGAAGAACAGAAGGAGAGGGATGAATCGGAGCAACAAAGGATTGAATTTCAATAGATCGTGGCAGCAAGGCCACTCTACTGCTTACAATACCCTGTCATGTATTTAAGTGGTCTGCAAAGGATTCTACCCATCATTCAATGGAAATTGTACTTCAAGGCAACCAACACAGCATGTACGCTAAGAGGACTTGGCCAACGACATTTGCCCCTAGGGACCGTAAGGCCCCTACTACAGGTTAGCAAGTGGATGACGGGTGCATGCATCGCTTCTAACCCAAAATTTGACTTCGAGATGTTCAGTCATAATCTATAGCTTCGTGCCACTGGCTTTTCAACCAAGCACAATGATCGATTGTACGAATCAATGGTTCCTCTCGTACTAGGTTCAATTACTATTGTGATACTGTCATTAGTAGGCTAAAACTAACCTATCTTACGATGGTCTAAACCCAGCTCACGTTCCCTCTTGGTGGGTGAACAATCCAGCACTTGGTGAATTCTGCTTCACAATGATAGGAAAAGCCGACATCGAAGGATCAAAAAGCAATGTTGCTATGAAAGCTTGGCTGCCACAAGCCAGTTATCCCTATGGTAACTTTTCTGACACCTCTAGCTTCAAATTTTGAAGGTCTAAAGGATCGTTAGGCCATGCTTTCATGGTTCATATTCGTATTGGAACTCAGAATCAAATGAGCTTTTACCCTTCTGTTTCACACAAGATTTCTATTCTCATTGAGCTTATCTTAGGACACCGACGTTATCTTTTAAAAGATGTGCTGCCCTAGCCAAACTCTTCATCTAACAATGTTTTCCTTCCAAATCGACCCGTGAAGCAGGCCTTGGGTCCAAAAAGAGGGCAGTACCCTGCTTCTGATTCATAGAATAAGTAAAATAATGTTAAAAGTAGTGGTATTTTACTTTCGGCTTTTGATTCCCCCATATCCTTCACCTCTCAAGTCATTTCATAAAGTCGGACTAGAGTCAAGCTCAAGAGGTTCTTCTTTCCCCACTAATTTTGACAAGCCCATTCTCTTGGCTTTGCTTTTGTTGGATAGTGGACACGGATAGTGGAAATCTCGTTGATCGATTCATGCGCGCCACTAATTAGATGACGAGGCATTTGGCTACTAATAAGTGTATTTTATACACTTATCTGTACCTTAAAATAAAGATATTTGATGGTTCTTTTGACAAATTATATCCTAAATTGTTGTTTCTTATTTTTTAATAGGTAAATTCTATGAATGAAAAGGGAATTGAACGAATGAAGCAAAAAAGAGCGAAATGCAAAAGTTAGGAACCAAGTTGTAACAATTCAATAGTTGATCCGGACCATGAATTGAAGATTGAAATGTTTGGAGGTCAAATTGAATATTTTGGAAGGTGAAGGACTTGAATTGAACCAAAGAATACATAGGTTGCAAGAATAAAAGGGATAAAGGACTGAAATTTATTATATTGAAAGATTAAGGACTTGAGGGCTAATATTGCAATAAAGCCTTTGAATTGTAGTCAAATATGGTGGCTATCGGGTTGTTATATATATACACATTTAGACAGGAGGTTGAGAGAATTAGAGTCCCTTTTATAGTCAAAATTGTTGTTGCAAGGTTTGGGATATATTATATATATACATGTACATGCACAGGGGAAGAGAGAGAGAGAGAGAGAGAGAGCTAGCTGAAAAAAATTGGGAATCACCTTGGAGTCAAACATTGCGGCTCTAATAGATGCACAGAAATAGGGGAGAAAAAGAATGCAGCCAATTTGATATATTTCTAGAGAATTAAGGCTGCCAATTTTAGAGAGAAGCGCATGACAATTGAAGGAGAGCTAGAATTTAATATCTTGTTGCCAGATTAGCAACACGCACGGAATTTGGAGTTGCAGAAAAAACTAAAAAAAAAAAGCATACAGCAACATGCAGACAAGATGGCAACAAGAGGAAAAGGCAGATTGACTTTGCAAATTTATTCACATTCTGTCAATTAATCTAGTGATGTCTTCCATGATTTATTATTTTCTTCCATTAATATGCATAGCCAAATTTAATTTTAGGGCGAACAATGTAATCTATTTGGGACTTTTATCTCTTTTATTAGAGATTCTTGTTATTTTATATTTTATGTGTTAATTTTAATTATGCTTTTAATGCTTTGAAGTTTCTGGCCAATTATTCAATGATTTCGTAAACAATAATTACGTAGAGATGCCGATTCTTGTTTAGACCACATATTAAAATTCAGTAAATTAATATAACGTGTAGAGATACCTATAATAATTACTGTGGTCTTATAGAAATTCTTAGAACTATTATTTTGTTTAATTAAATTTAATTTGCATAGAGATATGGAATTGAACTAATTAAATAGGGTAAACAAGAACTCGAGAGGGGTAAGTTGAATACAATAGAAGAATTTGATTGAACACTACTTTTGTTTTATGAATCTCGATATTAGAAATAAAGGTGACCAATAGGTGAAGTTGTTCCGTCCTAATCTCCATTTATTATTTGAATTCTCACTAGTTTTCTATTGCATTCCCGAATTTTTTAGTAGTTAGATTTAAAAATCACAGTCTATCAAATTTATTTTTTGTTTATTTATTTTCATCAAACAGATGTCAGGAATAATAAATTGAGTACTAAAATATAGTTCTTGTGGGAATAATAATCCGGACTCAAAAGGTCCACTCTACTACTTGTTATAATTTCTCCACTTGTGGGATAAAATCAACAACAAGTTTTTGGCGCCTTTGTCGAGAACTATTATTTTTAGTCTTAATTAATTAATTAATTAATTATTATTTTATTTTATTTTTATCTTATTTTTAATTGCTATTTGATTTGCTTATTTTCTTTTATTTATAGAAAACTGTGTTCGTTGTATGTTCCATGCCCAAGGTGACGATCTTGAATCGTTTCATTCGAAAATAAAACATACCTTCAGACGAAGATGCAGGGAACACAAACAAAAACAGCATCATCAAATGGGTGACAATTGAAACAATCCTATCCCTATACAACCAATGGGACAAATGGCTGCAAGAGCTTAACAGCAAGAGCAAATGGAAGTAAATGAAGGGAACTTGCCAGTTTCTATGTTTTTTGATGCCTATAACAGCACCCGTGCGGTCTAACATAGTATATCCAGATTTTAGGGTAAACAACTTCTAGATACGATCTGATTGGATTAATTTGATGAGTAACACTCTGCAATTCTACGGGTTACCTCATGAGAATCCAAACAAGCGTATCTCAAGGTTTCTCAGGAATTGCCAAATTGTCATGCTCCTGGGGTTAATGAGGATGCCATCAAGCTATGATTATTTCCATATACACTGAGAGATGCAGCATTGGAATGGCTGGATGTCGAACCTGATGGAAGTATTATCACATGAGAGGAACTGACTAGGAAATTCTGCAATAAGTTCTTTCCACCAGCTAAGGTATCAAAAATCAGACATTAAATTCAAACTTTTCAATAGAGAGATAGAGAGCTATCATGAGGCATGGAACAAATTTAAGGAATTGATGATGAAGTGTCCAAATCATGGGATTGCTATTGGAAATCAAGTGCAGTATTTCTACACGGGACTTTCACCATCGTCTAAGTCTCAAGTAGATTCCACTACAAGTTGATCGATTGTAGGGAAATCGGTGCAACAATGTATAGGTCTATTTAAGTTGATTGCTACTACTCATTCCATGTTTTCATCAAAAAGAGTGGTGCCTCCAAAAGTAGCGAAAATATATGAATTAGACAGCACAACATCTACCAACGCCCAAAAAGTAGCATTGATAAAAGAAGTAGAGTTGTTGGTGAAGTCACAAATAAAAGGAGCATATGCAGTGATAGCGGGTCCATCATGCAAAAACTACGGAGCTAATCATCTAACAGAAAATTGCACATCTTTGGGCTTTCCAGAGGAACAAATCTACTTCATTCAAAATGGCCCTCGAAATTTTAATCCTTTTTCACAAACGTATAACCCAGGATGGAGACAACACCTAAACATTAGATGGTCAGATAATCAGCAAGGAAACAGTTCAAACAATGCACAACAGGAGAAAAAACTAAGTTTAGGGGAGATGCTCAACTAGTAAATGTAGAAGACAGACAAGGTGTTCTAGCAGATTGACACTAACTTTCAGAATCAGCAAGCATCCATTAAGAAGCTGGAAACTCAAATTGGTCAGATAGCTCAACAGCTTGCAAAACGCCCACAAGGGACATTGCCAGGCAACACAATGGTCAATCTAAAAGAGCAAGTGCAAGTTATTGCAACTAGAAGTGGAGTGCAACTTCCAGAGATACGTGTGAAGAGACTAGACAGAAAAGATAAAGAAGTAATGGGTAAAGAGGCTGGGACAAAAGTAGAGTCTGAACAACCAACTAATGAGGAGGATAAAAGGAAAGAAATACCCAGCCTCGTGAAAGCTTATGTGCCACCAATTCCCTTCCCTCAAAGATTACAGAGAAAGAAGTTAGACAAGCAGTTTGCCAAGTTTGTGGAGAATTTCAAGACACTGGACATCAATATTTCATTTACAGATCCAATTGCCCAAATGCCCAGCTATGCTAAATTCTTGAAGGAGATCTTGTCTAACAAAAGGAAGCTGGAAGAACATGAGATAGTCTACCTGAACGAGGAGTGCAGTGCAATTTTATTAAAAAAGCTACCTCCTAAACTAAAAGACCTAGGACGTTTCACGATACCTTGCACAATTGGTTCTCATTATTTTGAACATTCTTTATGTGATTTAGGTGCCAGTGTTAATTTGATGCCCCTCTTTATTTACAGGTCTCTTGGATTGGGAGAAGCAAAACCTACAACAATCTCATTGCAACTGGCTGACAGATTAATCAAATGACTGAAGGGGATTATTAAAGATGTGCTAGAAAAAGTTGATAAATTTATTTTTCCAACTCACTTCATCGTTTTGGACATGGAGGAAGATTCAAACATCCCTTTAATCTTAGGAAGACTCTTCTTGGCTACCGGAAGAACACCGATTGATGTTTATGATAGAAAGATGATTCTTCAGGTAGACAATGTGCAAGTCATATTCAACATTTTCAAGGCAATGAAACATCCATTGACTTCAGATACTTGTTACCAAGTAGATGTTCTTGAAGAACTTGTGGTAGATACATTTGAGATAGAGCATCGAACAAATCTTTTTGAGGTAGAACTTGTGCAGTCGAAAGCAACAACTATAGGAAAAGCTAAATATGTTGTCAAGTTTTCCGAGCAACCAATAAGAAGGAGACATTAGCAGTATGAATCTCTTGGTGACAACCCTTCATCCCCAGTACCCTCAGTGGACAAGGCACCCACTTTTGAACTAAAGCCCTTGCCTTCACACTTACATTATGCATGTTTGGGATGTAACACCCCGAAAANNTATTATAGTTTTTGACGTGATTTATTTCATGAAATACTAATCGACCTGTGGGTCCAATGAAATGAAATAAAATGTTCGACCTGTGGGTTTCTATGAAATGAAATGAAATTTTCGACCTGCGGGTCCCTACGAAATGAAATGAAATGTGAGATTGCCTTTGGGTCTTCTCAAATTGTATTAGGGCTTTCGACTGATCACCGATTGCTCTTGACGAAATGTTGGTATTAAATGTTATGAGTTTACGTTTTAAATTATTATATTGTTTGGACGCACGTATCCTACAGAGTGTAATTACTCACTCCTTCAATTTCAATATTTCAGATCAGTACGGTCGATGTGGATGGTGGCTGAGCGGTGCGTGGGTTGCCAAGTAAAGAAAAACTTTGCAAGAAAACTTTTTAAAATAATTCTGTTAGGATTATGTGCTTCAATTTAATCCTGTTTAATGTTCTATGTTTACGCGACATTTTGTTTATTCAATTTGGTATTTGAGTATTAAATAAATCAAGAGTTTTAAATTTCGAATTAAATATTTTCGCTTTATGTATGTGATACGAAATGATATCGGTAACACCTCAAATTTTAAGTCGATAAAATTTGGGGTGTTACATGGGAGAATCTACAACACTTCCAGTAATCATTACAAATGACATGACAATGGAAGAGGAGAATAAATTGTTGGAGGTGCTCAAGCAGCGCAAAACGGCAATTTGATGGACAATAGCTGACATCAGAGAAATTAGTCCAACTCTTTGTATGCGCAAGATTTTAATAGAGGACAAGTCAAAGCCATCAGCGGAAGGACAACGCTGATTAAATCCAACCTTAAAAGAAGTAGTCTGAAAAGAAGTGCTGAAATTGTTGTATGCAAGTATTATCTATCCAATCTATGATAGTTCATGGGTGAGTCCAGTGCTTGTTGTGCCAAAAAAGGGTAGAATCATAGTGGAGAAGAACGAGAACAACGAGCTGATACCAACATGGTTAGTGACAGGGTGGAGAGTATGTATAGATTACAGAAAGCTAAATAATGCAACCAGAAAGGATCATTTTCCATTGTCATTCATCGATCAAATATTTAAGAGGTTGGCCGATCATTCTCATTACTGCTTTTTGGATGGATATTCTGGATACAATCAGATACTTATTGCTCCAGAAGATCAGGAGAAAATAACCTTCACATGTCCCTATGGAACTTTTGCGTTTAGAAGGATGCCTTTTGGTTTATGCAATGCACCCGCAACCTTTCAATGGTGCATGATGGCCATATTCTCTGACATGGTGGAAAAATACATTGAGGTATTTGTGGATTATTTTTCTATGTTTGGAGATTCATTTGATGACTGCTTGGATCGGTTGGCTTTTGTATTGCAAAGATGTAAAGAGATGAACCTAGTGTTAAATTGGGAAAAATGTTATTTCATGGTAAAAGAGGGGATAGTACTAGGCCACAGGATTTCCTCGATGGGCATTGAAGTTGACAAAGCCAAGATATAAGTGATTGAAAAATTGTAGCCTCTAATTCAGTTAAGGGGATTAGAAGTTTCTTAGGACATGCAGGGTTTTATAGAAGGTTCATTCAAGATTTCTCAAAAATTACAAAACCTCTATGTAATCTACTGGAGAAGGATATGCCTTTTCACTTTTTTGATGAATGCTTAAATGCCTTTAATACTTTGAAAGAAAAGTTTACTTCTGCACCCGTGATAGTATCACCTGATTGGGATGTACCTTTTAAACTTATGTGTGATGCTAGTGACTTTGCAGTGGGAGCGGTGCTTGACCAATGTAAAGGAAAAGTGTTACATGTAATCTACTATGCAAGTAAAATCTTGATGGATGCTCAAATCAACTATGCAACAATAGGAAATAGATGATAGCAGTGGTCTTTGCCTTCGAAAAATTTCGTTCCTATTGGATTAGTTCAAAGGTGATAGTCTACACTGACCATACAGCATTGAAATATTTGTAGGCTGATTTGATGGGTTCTGTTATTGTAAGAGTTTGACATTGAAATTTACAACAAAAAGGGTATAGAAAATCAGGTAGCAGATCATTTATCAAGGCTGGAGCAACTGTGTGATTCAGATGATGGGGATATTAACGAAGTTTTCCCAGATGTGTAGTTATTATAGATAGAAAGGCTCCGTGGTTTGCAAACATTGTTAATTACTCAGCTAGTGGCTATATAGATCCTGATCTCCCTATCAGCAGAAGAAGAAGCTACTTCATGAAGCGAAATTTTATTGTTGGGATGATCCAAATTTATGCATGAGGGAGATAGACTAGATCAGTAGGAGATGTGTGCCTGAGGATGAGATGAAACCTATCCTTTCACGGGTTCATGCTTCGGCTTATGGAGGATAATTTAGCCCCACTAAAACAGTAGCAAAGGTGCTTCAATGTGGTTTCTTTTAGCCTACACTATTCAAGGACTGCCTCAATTTCTGTAGGTTATGTGATAAGTGTCAGAGAACAGGTGACATATCCGCGCGTCAGGAGATGCCACTCTAACAACATTTTGGAGGTTGAAATATTTGATGTTTGGGGGTTTGGTTTTATAGGTCCCTTTCCATCATCTTACAACAATCGGTACATCCTAGTGGCAGTGGATTATGTCTCTAAATAGGTAGAAGCTAAAGCATTATCTACAAATGACGCAAGGGTGGTGGTGGACTTCATAAAAAACACATCTTTAACCGCTATGGATCACCTAGAGCCATAATAAGTGATGGTGGAACTCATTTTCGCAATTGGTTATTCCAGGCAGTGCTGCATAAGTATGGGGTACAACATCAAATTGCCACTCCTTACCATCCTCAGACAAGTGGACAGGTGGAAACCTCGAATGGATAATTGAAAAGAATTCTAAAGCTCACTGTGAATGCATCTCGCAAGGATTGGTCAAAGAAATTAGATGATGCTTTATGGGCATATCGCACTGCTTACAAGATAACTATTAGGATGTTCCCATATCGAATAGTCTTTGAAAAAGCATGCCACTTATTAGTGAGGTTTGAACATAGAGCATACTTGGCATTGAAGCAGTTAAACATGGACCTCAAAAAGGCTGGAGAAACAAGAGTATTGTAGCTACATGAATTGGAAGAATTTAGAAGAGAAGCATATGAGAATACAGCCATCTACAAGGAAAGGACGAAGCAATGGCATGACAAGAACACCAGGCAAAGAATTTTTAGAGTGGGAAATCAAGTGCTTTTATACAATTCCAGACTTAAACTATTTCCAGAAAAGTTGAAATCTAGATGGTCCGGCCCTTTTACAGCCTCTTAGGTATTTCCCTACGGCACAGTTGAATTACACCATACAACAAAAGGAAATTTCAAAGTAAATGGCCAACGTATCAAGCACTACGTGGAAGATTTTTCCTCCACTAAAGAAAGCCTTGACCTAGCTGTTCCAGAATAACTGCCGTACAAAGTCCAGCTAATGACTTTAAAGAAGTGATTATTGGGAGGTAACTCGATTTTCAAACTTTTTATTTTGATTTTCGTATCGCATAGCATATAGTTTTGTTTTCTTTACTAGGTTGCATTAGAATCAGGCATGTTTCAATTTTTAGGAGTCATCACCCATATCCCTTCTGCCCTCAGGCTCTTGAATTTATTGTTGATTATTTTGATTGTTGGAACTAAGTAACCCTTGTTCCTTGTATTTAATTTTTCAAATTTGATTTTTCAGGAACATGATGTCATGGAACACTCAAACCAACATAGATCTAAGGGAAAGCATGATGAAGAATATTATCCAATCGTCACACATAGTGCCTCACACATTAAACAGAAAAATTTGGGGAGTACCTTCTTCCTTTTCTTCCCTACCCTCTTTATGTGCTTATTTATACTTTATGACATTGAGGACAATGCCAATTTTAAGATTGGGGGTTAGAAAAACTTTTAGTTTTTGTTTTTGTGTATGTTTTTATGTTTTGGTGTACTTGTTTAAAAAAAAAAGCGAACAAAAGAAAAAAAATCGAGAAATTTAGAAAAAAAAACTCTTTTGTTCAATTGTGTGCTTGTGTGGGTTAGACAGTCTGGCAGACTATAATGATTTAATTTGAGATTTGGTGTTGATTTATGAACTATGGATAGGATGCATGCTAGACTAATTGAGGCTCAACCTTACAAAATTTGATATTACAAGTACACTAGAATTGAGTTTGACATTATGATTAAATGAATTGTTTCTTGCTTTGGATATGTTGATCTAGTTGGACATAGATGGTTTACCTAAACCATATTAAATTATCTATCCTTAGACCAAGTTTAGCACAATTTGGGGGTGACTTTACAGTTGTAAGAAGAGCGGATGTGAATGTAGATTCCATGTGTGAAAAAATTATGTTCGGATCGTCTTAGACTAACATGATAAAACCCTGCAAAATTCTTAAATTAAAGTCGGTTTGTTTGAATAAGTGTGTGATAAGGGGCATTGCACTAATCAAG